TCTCATTCAAAGAATAAATCAGTATCTGTTTATATTAATCACATTGCAGTGAAGAAAGATTCAGAAGATAATTACAAGAATACTCTAATGAAATAGAAAAAAGATTAGCTTCTGTTCAAATTTGTAAACAGAAGCTTGAAGAGATCAGATGATAATGATTTGAAGAGAAAATAATAATAAATGCAATTCTTGTATCTACTGTGATTAATAACATGTATAATATGAAAGCTATGATAGACAGCAGTCTATGGCTACTATACAATGATTAAATCTTCAGTTATAAGATTATTATAATCTTCAGCATATTCTCTTATCAAAATCTTGACTTCTTACAGAATTTAATGATTTAAAAGATATTTACATCTATTATATAATAAAACTAAACATAGATATCAGAGAATATCAGTATGAAGACATCTATATATATGAAGTTAATAATCTTGATTATAATCTTATATTAGAACTTATCTGACTATCTGAATAAGACATCTTATTAAATACTTAAAACAGAAGTTTAATATTCTCTAACAATAATAGAGTTTATGAGAATAATATTCACAAGACTATGAATCTGACACTGATCTCTGTCAACATTTATGAAATGCTTAGAAAAAGAAGTTACTGAAAGAATTACTGATAGCAGAATTATATATTAATCTATTTCATCAGTCTGATCAATATTAAAAAGACTCTAGAAAAGTTATTCTGTGTTATAATAATTAGACTGGCCGCCGGGACCATGAATTTCACGTTTGATCCCATTTGGTCTGGTCTCATACATTTCTTGACGTGAATCCCGCTGGGACTGGCTATCAAAAAAACATGTAAAGTGACTATATATCAGATCTTAAAATGGAACCATGACTTGAAAAAAATGAGAAAGTGGTCTCATTTGGTCCCATTTAGTTTTAGACATTTTAAGATTTTTTTTAGACTATTTTTAATTTTTTAAAAAGTAACGCTTTTTGGTAATGCTCAAATGAGATTTAAAGTCATTTAAAGCAATAAAAATAATTTAAATTGAGAAGTGGAAATCATGGTCCCATTTGGAAAATGTGACAAGAGTAGACAGTAAGTCCCACTGGGACAGTATGAGACTACTATCTAATGTTAAAACCGTGTAATGGGATCAGTCGAATTGGTAATGAGACTATCAAAAAATCTGGTCCTGGTCCCAGACACGGTCACACAGTCAGTCTAATAATAATAGATTCTTATACAAAACTCTCTTAATAATATCATAAATATCTAGATGTTTTCTGATAAGATAACACTATAAATATACTTCTCTTACAAGGCTCAGAAGTAGATCACAGTATTAAGTTAGAAAAAAAGAATAATAAGAATCTCAAGTTATTATAAGACTCTCTTTATAACATGTCTCAAGATAAACTTCTTCTTCTTCAGAAGACACTTAATAATCTGTTAAATAAGAAATTTATATATATTAGTAACTCTTCTACTGCAGCTTTTATTCTCTTTATAAAGAAATCAGATAAAGAACTCTGATTCTGTATGAACTATTAAGAATTGAATAGATTAATTAAGAAGAATCACTATTCTTTATCTCTTATCAATGAAACTCTAGCTTCTATTAAACAAGCTCAATGATTTATAAAACTAGATATTATTACTATGTTTTATAAAATTCATATTATTAAAGAAGATGAATAACTTATAGTATTCTGAATATATTATAATCTCTTTGAATAAATAGTTACACTCTTTGAACTGATTAATACTCTTAGTATATTTTAGAAGTATATTAACTAAGTACTTCAGAATTTTCCTAATAAATTTATATCTGTATATCTCAATAATATTCTCATCTTCACTAATAAGTTCAGAAAAGAATATTAAGAATATATATAAAGAGTATTATAACAATTATAAGAAGCAGAATTATTAATAGATATTAATAAGTATAACTTCAAAGTTAAGAGTATTAAATATCTAGATTTTATCATAGAAGCTGATAAGAGAATTTAAATAAATCTTAAGAAAGTCTTTATCATTCTTGAATGAGAAGCTTTATATACTATGAAAGATGTATAAAGCTTTATCAGATTTACTAACTTCTATTAATAATTTATATAAAACTTCTCAGATATTATAAGATCACTTATAGAACTTATTAAGAAGAACTTAGTATTTCAGTAATTAACAGACACTGAAGCTGTATTTATATAGATAAAGAAAATATTCATTAATACTTCTCTATTAATAATATTTAATTCTGATTATAAAATAGTTATTAAAGCTGACTTCTCTGACTATATTATAAAGAGAGCTATATTATAATATAATAATAGAGATATCTTATAATTATGTATCTTTATATTTAAGAAACTGAGTCTTATTGAATACAACTATGAAATCTATAATAAGAAACTTCTTATAATTATATACTATCTAGAAGAATAAGACTCTGAACTCTAAAGTATCTCTGAATTTAAGATAATCATAGATTATAAGAATCTTAAGTATTTTATAACTATCTATAAACTTACTGAATAATAAATATAATAATCTAAGTTCTTAAGCTACTTTCATTTTATAATATACTATTATCTCAGTAGTCAGAACTTAATAACAGATGCTCTCTTATAATAAGAGTAAGATCTATCTTTTAATATAATAGATATCTATTAAATAAACTGAGAATATCAGCTTCTAGATTTAAAAATATTAGTTAATTAAGATAAAATAACTTATAACACTATATATACTTCTTTAATTAAAATATTCTCTCTCTGAACTATCACTGATATTAATACTAATACTAATACTGATATCTTAACTTCTTCTGAATCTACACTGAATAAATTATAATATATAACAGCTTAAACTGATAAACTTCTTCAAGTACTTACTGAAACAGTATATTAAGAAATACTCTGATTTCTCTTAGAATTATATATAAGAACTAATATCTTAGAATACTTAATTAATAATAATAATACTTTATAGTTCTATGAATAATATTAAGTCTCTTACTTTAAATTCTTATATACTTGAATAATATAAGAGATATATAATTCATATATAACTAATTATTCAGATTATAAATAACTGTATTAAATAATCTCTCAGAAGTTCTACTAATTTGAGATATTAAATAATATCAGATATTTTATCTGAAACTGTAATTATTATTTCTCTATTATCTTATAAAAGAAATGTAGAAAAGATCTACTAAAATTACTTAATATTTCTAATAGAATCTGATAAGATATAATAATTAACTTTACTACTAATCTCTCTAAGAGTAAGAGCTGTAGAAATATTCTAATTATTATAAACTAATTAAATAAGAGTATTATATTAAAACTCTGTAATAAGATAAATACTGAATAAGTTACTAAAGCTTTTCTAAGAAGTCTATTTTATTAGATATATAAATTACTGAAATCTATAGTATTAGATTAAAACTGTTAATTTATAAACACTCTCTGAATAAGAATCTATTAAGTTTTTAAGATTATATATTATTTATTAACTATCTACTACTCTGAGACTGATAATATATTAGAATAGATAATTCAGATTATAAAGAATTATCTTTATAAGTTTTATAATTACTTATAAAATAATTAATATAATCTTCTTCTATATATAGAGATTACTATTAATAATTAAGATATTATTTTAATAGATATAAGTCTGTTCTTTCTTATATATAGTTATTATATAAAAGTATTAAATCTTCTAGAGATTATACAGTTTATACTGAATCTCTGCAGTTTAATTCAGATTACTGATAATATAGTAATAAAACTCTGAGATATCTATAATTAAACAGAAGTCTTTATAATAAATATTAAATAGAATTAAGAAGATTAAATTAATATTCACTGAGACTCTGTTAAATAATATAAGATAGAAGATCTGATATAATTAAATCTTAAGAATATATAGACTATATACTCATCTCACACACTGAATTATTATTATATAAAGTATAAAATAATAGAAGTTCTAGATAGTTATAATTACTATCTTGATATATTATCAGAGATTTATAATATCTTTTATATAAGCTTATTTTACTATACTATTATTAATCTGTTCTCTTCTTAACTGACTTCTAACTGACAGCTGTTAGATATTATAGAAGAAGATAATAAGCTTAAGTAAGAGATTGAGAATATTCTTAATAAGAGACTCTGTAACTGTGATTAATAATATCTTATAAAATAAGTCAGCTATAATCAACTGATCTGAACTCTGAGTTCTGTATTATCTGAAGCAGCAGCTCTTGACTGATGAGAACTGCTTCTGAAAGAGAGGGACTAATATGGCAGGCTGTGCCTGATCAATCATATAGACTATTCTGTTACACTTCACAGATTTCAACTGCTTCATTCTCAAATGCGTACACTACACTCTGATTCTCAGTCATTCTTGATTGCCAATCCTCAGCTGCTATGAACATGTATAGATTCTTCTGCCCTGAAGCTCCACTGCATATGCCATCACATACATGTATAAATATCCATTTCAATCACTGATTTCCATACTTTCTCTTTCTTTTCTTCTCTAACATTTTTCTCTTTGTTATATAAGACCTATCAATATCATACCGATCTATTCGGCGTAGGCTCCTTACACTCACTCATACAGCTTCCCAAACAACTACCTCTATGTGATGCCGTCAACTAGCCACTGCTTCGGTTCCACCACGTTACAATAGATTCACTGTCAGAGAAATCTGATAATATTGATCTGTCTTCATTCAAGATTTCATGTTCTGAGTGAGTTATTAAGTTAAATAAACATCTACAGAATTAGCTGTATATTTTTATGTGTAATTTTCTATATATATTTTCATCATATAATATATCATCTTAAAATCTAATTGCATTGTTGAGATATCATTGAAAATATTTCATCATAGTAATGGCGAAATGGCGGGCGTTGGGTGGTTGATCACGTTATACATCAGAAGACATCCAGAGCCAGGAAAACCAGCCAAAATTTGCTTGTCAGATGGATGAATGTTAATACCGCGTCTCTGCTCAATGAGCGCCAGAGTGCCCAATGCCCCTCCATTGATTTCCTTTTTTTCTCTGAAACGAATGAGCCCCTCATATCGAAGTTGACCCTGTAAATCACCATAGAAGTAGACGCTGTGGGATGTGAATTAGTGCTTTTCATAGTTAACCTCACCGCTAGTATTTGACCCTCCATATATAAAGAAAGACTGTAAAATTGTAAACGGCATGGAAAACATGTTGCTGTGTTTCCAAGCTGAGAGTGCCACCTATGTCATGCAATTGGCAGGGTAGGGAATAACACCCTTCCAAAACTTTTTCGCTGACCCCCACAAGACTCATCTCAATCAAATACCTTCCAATTTCCACACGCGCCAGTTACCACCATATCCAGCGGAAAAACCTCTTCGAATTCTCGGAATCTCCTATACTGCATTATCATTACGTCCCATATCTAACTTCTAAGTAACATGCCGGCCGAAACGAAGAAGAACTTGGATGTCAATCCCTTGCCTCGAGAATGCGAATGCGAACTTAAATATTTAAAACAACATGCGGATAAAGTCACTGAATGGCGAGCGACATCCGATACTCCGAAGGAAAGCATGGAGCCTCTGGACGCTTCGAAGATTAAAACCATACTACATGCAGCTAAGGCAGATGTGAGTGTGATATTATCATAAATCGGTAAATATGGGACTGATGTGTATGGCAGCCCTCAAAATCCAAAATTTTGAGAATAGGTGATCACACTCGGTTTTGGGCTAAGGTCCCTATGCGCCTCATTCCTATATCAAATGACCTCATGATATCCGATACTCCCGATGAAAAGTCAATAATAACCGTTCCGGTTGGGAAAATTGTAGATGTCACGGAAATTATTTCCTATATACACACCAGTGTTGACTTACTCACCATTAAAGAAATGATAGGGGAGGATAACAACAAGGCATAGGGAACGGGATAAATGGGATATGATGGATATTCATGGAAATTTGCATCAAATGATCTGGACTTAGAATTCTGTTATGTATTACAATGATTGTGTTTGCCTCCTCTTCTGCTTATCATATATTTGTATATATTTGGAAATAACCTTAGTTCATCTACTAAGTTCAACACGCGCCTCACTAAAAGCCTGCCTAGAACCCTGATGGTTGTGCATCCAGACTGCCACAATAGGGGAATTGTGGCAACAAACCCATGCTATCATTTGAGCTTGTCTCTGAAACCAACACATTCCGCCATAGCCCGTTTGTTGGGTGCTGTGTGTCGGGGTCAAAAAACCCGTCTTGCCAAGGCCCATTTGTCGAATTATGTGTGTCCAGGCCATAAAACGCATTTGTGTCTGGGTCAAAAATCACATTATGCCATGTTCGAAAGTCTGTGGTTGTTTCCCCGTTATAAAATAAATTCGAATCTATGGCTGGATGTGGAGGGCGGGATTCATTTGTGTTAAGATTGGTAGGTTCGTTGGTCGAAGTGTGATCTAAAGTATATTAGTGCTCATTCTACCTTGAGAAAGATCGGATGAGTGAATAGTACCATCGTCCTCCCATGCCACTAAATCCTGTCTGGATGTATCGATCGGGCGAGGGACATGCGATGGAACATCACCCGAGCCACCAGGACCGCTGTAATACGGCGAGTTGTCAGTGGATTCAGATATTGAGCTCGATGAGGATGTGCTGCGTCTGCTTTCTTGATTTGAGGTACCCGAGTGGTTAACGGACGTTTGATGTGCAGGATCGTTGGGATCTAAAACAAAACATGTTAGTGTCTGTAGAGAAGCGGAGAGACCAATTAAGTCAGACCTTTATTAGGGCGGATAGTATCATCTTCCCAGCTAAGGTAAACTCTCAATACCTCGAGTAGACGGCTCTGAGTTGTTCGAAGTTCGTGATAAGTATATCCATAAGTAATTAGCCCCTCAAGTATGATTTTTGCTGCTGATATGCATTTCGCGAATCGATCTTGCTTAGATTGGAGTAGAAGCCATTGAATGAATAACTTCCGTTGGTCATCTGTCAGAAGAGAATTTTCGCATCTAGCAATGTTAGCTAAGCTAGAAAATAAAAATGAATAAGAAGACTCACAAACTTGAAACATCATTATCCAGTTCAAAGATAATAGCTGGGCCAGCTTCTTGTATCAATTTAGTATAGCTCTTACCCCGTCGCTCGCATAGTTTCACACAATCAAGAGAGCAATCCCATTCTTTTGAAACCTGTTCATATGCCCCAGTCTTTAGTTTCTTCCCACACTCATATTTGGAATGAGAATCAATCTCGTGGACTGAATAGATTAAAGAAAGGCGGTGTGCAATAATCTGGTTGGCTATATTTTTTGCTGCTGTTGTTATAAATTTATACAAGCGTCGTCCCTTTGGAAGATTTGAATCGATGAGATCTTCAGGAGTCAAAATCGCCTTGAATGATGTTGTCAGCAAAGGTTTATCTTTAAAGGCTGTTTTTAATTTCAGCCATTCGCCTTGTTTATCCACCGCGAAGTTTCTTCGTCTTTTCTTGAATGGGGGAGAGCTTTGAGACACGGGTGGACTTGGAGAACCCAGAGTATTACTCTGGTTCACCCCAGCTCTTGGATTGAAAGGGCTGGAAGAACTGGTAGGGCATGGCGATAGCCATCGACCTGCTGAGGGATTGGAAGAGATGGAGGAACTGTTGAGACGTGAAGAACTCGTAGGGTACGTTGTCAGATTCTCTATTCCCACTGGCTGCTGATATAGCTGGCCATGGAGATTGGAAGAGATCAAAGAGCTGGGGGTGGATAACTGAGCTGCCGGACGAATTGAAGGTAATCGTCGGATGAGCTGATCCTGTGATGGAGCCTGAGTAACCGTGCCATGCTTACTCACTCTCTGTAGTGAGTGCGCCACAGTGTATGGAAAACCACACTGTAAAGAAAATATTTTGAATATAGTAATCTTCAAAAATTAATTAATAATCATCATCACATCTATCTATAACATAAAGATTATCTATATACTCATTAGAAGATGTAGAATTCACTATAAGTTGAGATTCTATAGAATTATCTTATTGTAGTTAAGTGACTGTAGATTTTATAGATTTAATTTCAATTAATTGAAGAGTCTTATTAAATGTCTTTTTCATCTCATCTACTCTATAGATTATAATCTTACAATTGGCATTCTTAATAGTAAGAACTTTATCTACTTATATCTGTCTGTAGAAGAATTTAATGATCTGATGTCTATTTATTTAATAATAATCTGTAAGTTCATTTTTACAGTGTGTATTCAATTTCACCTGAATCATACTATTCTTGAAGATCTTGTTCAACTGTCTTATTAAATCAGATATAAAAGTATTCTTCATATCTTCTAAGGTCTTGACTGCTGTATTAATTTAATGACATAGTTTTATAACTGTCTCTAAGAAGATTAATTATAAGAAGACAGTTAATAATTAATCTACAGATGACAGAGTAAAGTGATTGTATATATTATTATCACTATTATATATGTTGAGATCTAAGACATCATCAATAATAAAAGATCTTAATTAATTAAGAATTATATTATAATTAACTGAATACATTTCACAGTTAATAAAGTCAGCTCTCACAGTATTAGATTTAAATACTTACAGTTAAATACTCTTCAGATTAGTAAGAAATTGTCTATTATTATACTACTTATATTTATAGTAAGTAGTCTTATTAACTGTCTTTATATAATAATACTTATCCTGCTGAAAAGATATGCTATTAAGAGATTATAGAATATAACTTATATAAGATAAAAATCTAAATAGAATAATCTTATAAAGATTACAGTATTAAAGAATTCTTTTATAAGTATAAGAGGTCTACACTAAATAGATTGATATTATATTGATAGATCTTATATAACAAAGAGAAAACATTAGAGAAGAAAAGAAAAGAGAAAGTGTGAGAATCAGTAATTAAAGTGAATATTTATATGTATATATAATAGTGTATAAAGTGCAGCTTCAGAGTGAAAGAATCTATACACATTAGTAGCAGCTGAGAATCAGTGATTGAGAATGACTGAGAATTAGAGTGTATATATTTATAGCAGCTGAGAATTGATGATTAAGAATGACTGAGAATTGAAGTATATATATTCAAGAATGAAGCAGTTGAAATCTGTGAAGTATAATGAAATAGTTTATATAATTGATTAAGCACAGCCTGTCATATTAGTTTCTCTCTTTCAGAAGTAGTTCTTATTGATCAAGAACTGCTGTTTTAAATAATACAGAACTCAGAGTTCAGATCAGTTAATTATAACTGACTCATTTTATAAAATATTATCAGCTGCAATTACAGAGTCTCTCATTAAGAATATCTTCAATCTCTTACTCAAGTTCATTGTCTTCTTCTATAATCTCTGATAACTGTTAATCAGAAGTTAGTTAAGAAGATAACAGATCAATGATAGTGCAGTGAAGTAAGCTTGTATGAAAGATATTATAAATTTCTGATAATATGTTAAAATAGTAGTTATGACTATCTAGAACTTCTATCACTTTATATCTAATATAATAATAATCTAGTGTATGAGATGAATATGTAATTCATATATTCTTGAGATTCAATTATATAAGATTTTCTATCTTATACTACTTTGCAGAATCTTATCAGATATTGATTTAATCTTCTTAATCTTATTTCACAGTTATTATGAAGATCTCTGCTCAGTCACAGATATCTTGAAGCTTTATTACTATATTATCAGTAATCTGAATCAGACTGTAAGAGTTCAGTGTAAACTATGTAATCTCTAGAAGATTTAACACTTTTATATAATATTTATGTATAAGAAAGAACAGACTTATATCTGTTAAAATAGTATCTTAATCATTGATAATAATCTCTGTATATAGAAGAAGATTATATCAATCATCTTATAAGTGATTATAGAACTTATAAAGATAATTCTTTATAGTCTGAATTATCTATTCTAATGTATTATCAGTCTCAGAGTAATAGACAGTTAATAAACAGTATATAATTTTGAGAATTTGACAGATTCTTGTTCAGAGAGTACTCATGAATTGACAGTCTCAGTTCAATATAATAGATCTCAGTAACTTATATATCTGATAGAATAAACTTTGTAAGAAGACTTCAGTAACTTGTTCAGTATTCATTTTATTATAAGATTTCAATATTATATCTTTACTTAGTCAGTTAATAATAATCAGAATATTCTTATAATTCTTACTTTTAGATAGATTAATAGTGAAGTTAATTACTATATCTTATCAGATTCTATTAGAGATATTAAGTGATTTCAGTAGATCTTTTCTACAGTTCTTTTATAAGATAATAAAAGAACAGTAGTTACAGTTTCAGATAAAGCATCTGATACTGTTTAATATCTCAGATTAGTAGAACTCTTGAGAGATTATTCTATACAGTTATTTACAATCTGAATAATCAGTTATATAAGAGTTATACATCTCTTATATTATTCAGATATGTAAGAGTTCAGAGTAAGAGACTTAGTGTTATTTATAAAATTATAGAGTGTTATTATTATTGATTAAACATTCTGAGATATCAGTTTTTATATATAGTTCTGAGAAAAATCTGAGTGCTTCTTATTATACTACTTCAGTGAATACTTAGAGAAGTTTATCAGTTTAAGCTGTTACATGCTATAATTTATTCAGTGTAAATTTAAAAGAAATTAAGATATCAGTATCAGTATCAGTATCAGTGTCAGTAGTAGTTCAGAAAGAGAATGTTCTAATCAGAGAAGTGTGTATAGTATTATAAGTTATTTTATCTTGATTAACTAATATCTTCAAATCTAGAAGTCAGTGTTCTCAGTTTATTCAATAGATATCTATTACATTAGAAGACATATCTTACTCTTATTATAAGAGAGTATCTATTATTGAGTTCTGACTGTCAGAACAGTAGTGTATTATAAAATAAAAGTAGCTTAAAAACTCAGATTATCATATCTATTATTTAATAAGTTTATAGATAGTTATGAAGTACTTGAGATTCTTATAATCTGTGATTATCTCAAATTCAAAGATACTTCAAAGTTCAGAGTCTCATTCTTCTAGATAGTATATAATTATAAGAAGTTTCTTATTATAGATCTCATAGTTGTATTCAGCAGAACTCAGTTTCTTAGATATAAAAATATATAATTATAATATATTTTCATTATTATATTATCATATAGCTTCTTCTATGATATAATCAGAGAAATCAGCTTCAATAACTATCTCATGATCAGAATTAAATATTATCAGCAGAGAGATATTAATGAACATCTTCTTTATTTATATAAATGCAGCTTCAGTATCTGCTGATCATTGAAATACTAAGTCTTTTTTAGTAAGTTCTATAAATAATCTTATAATATCTGAGAAGTTTTGTATAAATTATTAATAGAAGTTAGCAAATCTGATAAAGCTTTGTATATCTTTCACAGTGCACAGAGTCTCTTATTCAAGAATAGCAGAGATCTTCTCAGAATTCATTCAGATTCTCTTATCAGCTTCTATGATAAAGTCTAGATATTTTATACTTTTAATCTTAAAATTATACTTGTCTATGTTTATCAGCAGTTCTGCTTTCTGTAGTTATTATAATATCTTCTATACATGTTCTTGATATTCTTTTCTAGATTCATCAGTGAAGATGAGAATGTTATCAAGATATACAGATACAAATTCATTAAGAAAGTCTTGAAGTGCTCAGTTAATATACTTCTGAAATATACTGAGAGTATTAGTCAGTTCAAAGAGTGTGACTACTCATTCAAAGAGATTATATTATATTCAGAATACTGTAAGTCACTTATCTTCTTTAATAATGCAGATCTTATGAAACACAGTAATAATATTTAACTTTATAAATTATTGAGCTTATCTGATATAAGTTAGAGTTTTATTGATAAGAGATAAAGAATAACAGTTCTTCTTTATTAATCTATTCAATTCTTAATAATTCATACAGAACTGAAGTTCTTCATCTAATTTCTTTATAAAGAGAATAGAAGCTGCAGCAGAAGAGTTGCTAATATATATAAATTCTTTATTTAACAGATCATTGAGTGTCTTTCAAAGAAGAAGAAGTTCATCTCAGAATATATTATAAAGAGAGTCTCATGATGATTCAGAGTTCTTACTGTCTCTCTTTTTCAACTTAATACTGTGATTCACTTCTGAACCTTGTAAGAGAGATAGATTTGTAACATTATTATTAGACTGACCGGCAGAACCATGAATTTCACATTTGATCTCATTTAGTCTGATCTTATACATTTCTTAGTGTGAGTTCCACCAGGACCAAGTCTCAAAAAAATCTGAAAATGAATTATTTCTGAGAGAAATGATGTGAAAAATGACCAGATTTAATTCAAGAACAGTGAAATGAGAGTAATTTCTCAGAATAAACTGTGAAAGATGATCATTCTTTCAAAATCAGAATGAGACTGAGACTGAAGATTAAAATCAGTCTCATTCAGTTCATTCAGTGATTACTTATATAATCAGAATTTGATAACAATTATTGATAATACTCATGAAATAACTAAATACATTCTTGTACAAGTTTATTTTTCACTTTCTCATGAAAACTACACTTCTCTGATATACTGTGATCAGAGGTATTAAACTGTCTGATAATTTCATGTTTTACAATCATGAGTTTCTTGATTGTTTCTTCTTGTAATTGTTCTCAGTGATAGTGATAAATATCTTAACTTGAGTTGAACTTTCACTTCATTCTTACCTCTATCAATGAAATTATCAGAATATTATATGTCATCAGTGTAATAGTTGAATATGTACTCTCAACAATTTTTCATAACTCTAGAATTGATTTGACATGTAAATTTATCAGATCATCTTGAAGATAGCAGTCAAATTCAGTTTTACAAGTATGTAGTTTTGTCTGATTTTCAGTTGCAATCAATGTATATAAGTTCTGTTTCAAAGTTAGTATTATAGTTCTATATAATATAAAGTGTTATCAAAGATTGTTACTTACTAGAGAATTGTATTTCACTATCTTCACATCTTGAATATCTGCTCATTCAAATCTCTGATAGTTGACATTGTAGTAGTCTCAGACTAATTTGACATATAAGTCTCATTTCTTCTCTATTCAATCTTGAGAAGTGTAGATGTTAACTTG